AATTTTTGATAGAAATTTTACAGCTTCTGCACAAATTACTCTCACGTTCAGTAAATTGTCCGAGCTAACGGAGAAATATTCACTATTCGTCCCGCACTTTTTCCTCAATAGAGGGTAAAAAAGTACTGATAATCGAATTCGCTCCACGATTACTTGACTTTTTCTGTAATTTTTCTCCAACTTTTTTCTCCTTGTGGGGTTTAAATAGAAGTTGGGATGTTTACTCACAAATGTTGAGAATTATGCCCGGTGGCCTGGCGTAGTGGTTAAGGCCGTTGCCTCACAACGGATAGGTTCCAGGTTCGATTCCTGGCCGGGTAGAATGGTGAGATCTAACCATTTTTAAAGTCTTGATCAATCGCCATATAGTCTCATCAGACTCGAAGCGATATAAAATAAGCATAAAAAAAAAAAAAAAAAATGTTGAGAAGAATTAAAAACAAAAATATTCTGAAGACAAAATTGTCCTTTCAGTAATTGAATGAAAATTGTTCCAATTACTAATATTAATATATTAACATTTTTTTTGCATGGATTCATCCAGTCATCCCAAAAATGCATTTAAATTCATTTTATAAAAGAAGTTGAATATGACGATCAATTATAACAAATGACATTGCGTTAAATGATAATTACATAGTTCAGGTATTAAAAAATCGTTCAAAACTGAAAATTTCAAGAAAGATAACGCGATATGTGACTAAAGATAGACCTCCGAAGGTGATAGATAATCCCCAATATATCACTCGGGGAATTCCTCGAGAGTAGTCAGTGCTATCGCTAAATTTCCAGAAAACTTATTTCTGAAGAGGTCTTCACTACAACCACATAATTTCCGCAGTTCACATTTGTAGATTTACAAAATGGCGCGTTGATTCCATGCGGCGTGATGGTTCATACGAGGGGTGAAACACCCCATTGGAGAAGCAACAAAAGGCCACCCCAACTCGCCAGGAGTGATACTCACCCCAACCTGAACGGGTAATGACATGGGCAACTAGCTCAAGTCCTGGCAAAAATCCCGGAGAAAATCCTGGGAAATACGGATGCTGTGCGAGATTTTATTTCGAAGCAGTTTATTTCGATATTTTAATTCGCGTTACAGGCGCCATCTCTCCGTCATCATCGATGTCAAATATTTTTCCACGTCGATACAGAGGAGATCTAGGGAAAACCGTTGGTACAGTAGATTGAAGAAGAAGTTTAAAGGAAGACAACTATAATTTTTAAAAGTCACGGGGCATTGGAATTAGATTTCTCACACATTGGAGAACGATTGTACATGTCTAAAAATGAATAATTATTGCTTGAATTTCAAGGAACTAATTCGTAATTGTTATTGTACACATTTTTTCAAAAATTTTGGGAAAAAAGAAACCACTGTAGCTCAAACATTGGAGGCCTTGGACTATTTTCAACATTTTAAGCGTTTACGGGGGAAACGAACAATAAACAAGGCGTTTTTTTGCACTAATTATTCGTTTTCAGACGATGTATAATCGATTTTCAATGTATGAGAAATCTCATACCAATAGCCCGCGACTTTTTAGTTTCCCCATAACACTGAATATTCTTATTAGATTGGAGATTCACATAAATTAAGGAATTCTCGTCTTTATGCCCCTTAAAATTCTGGAATTTTATTGAATTTCCAGTGAAACCTGAAATTTCATAATTTTTTTCCCCTAAATCGCATTCAGTGTCACTGTCTTGAAAATTGGTAATCAACTATCCCTGAAATTTCATTTTTTTTTACCAGTGTAGGCATAATTTACGTTTAGGTTTTTCTGTGTGTAAATTTAACTTATTTTGAAACTGATGATTATTCTGAGCCCTGCTCGGCGCGAGTGGGGAGCATCTGATGAGACCAGCAGGGCCGGTAAGTTCTCTATGGTAGGTATGGCGTTCTCGCCCTTGCGGCGTTCGGCCCTCGCGAAGCAAGCCTCTTGGAAGGTGTGATCCTTGTAACGTTTGATCCTCAAAAAGTACGACCGTGACGAAGTTTGATCGTCGTGAGATAAAACAGAAGAGGATTTTAATTATTTCACTCGATTTACGATCATTCAATCCTTGCGAAAAATTTGACCTCTGCAACAATTTTTTTTCCAAATTGAAAAAAAAATTCCCATACTTTCCCGGGTATTGATTCTCTCCTTACCCACCCGAGGGAATTTGTCNACTGTAGCTCAAACATTGGAGGCCTCGGACTATTTTCAACATTTTAAGCGTTTACGGGGGAAACGAACAATAAACAAGGCGTTTTTTTGCACTAATTATTCGTTTTCAGACGATGTATAATCGATTTTCAATGTATGAGAAATCTCATACCAATAGCCCGCGACTTTTTAGTTTCCCCATAACACTGAATATTCTTATTAGATTGGAGATTCACATAAATTAAGGAATTCTCGTCTTTATGCCCCTTAAAATTCTGGAATTTTATTGAATTTCCAGTGAAACCTGAAATTTCATAATTTTTTTCCCCTAAATCGCATTCAGTGTCACTGTCTTGAAAATTGGTAATCAACTATCCCTGAAATTTCATTTTTTTTTACCAGTGTAGGCATAATTTACGTTTAGGTTTTTCTGTGTGTAAATTTAACTTATTTTGAAACTGATGATTATTCTGAGCCCTGCTCGGCGCGAGTGGGGAGCATCTGATGAGACCAGCAGGGCCGGTAAGTTCTCTATGGTAGGTATGGCGTTCTCGCCCTTGCGGCGTTCGGCCCTCGCGAAGCAAGCCTCTTGGAAGGTGTGATCCTTGTAACGTTTGATCCTCAAAAAGTACGACCGTGACGAAGTTTGATCGTCGTGAGATAAAACAGAAGAGGATTTTAATTATTTCACTCGATTTACGATCATTCAATCCTTGCGAAAAATTTGACCTCTGCAACAATTTTTTTTCCAAATTGAAAAAAAAATTCCCATACTTTCCCGGGTATTGATTCTCTCCTTACCCACCCGAGGGAATTTGTCGGCCCTGTCAATGAGAGAGAGAGAGCGGTCTCATCAAATGCTCTCTTCTCACGCTAAGTACAATAAAAATTGAGTTATGGTGAACATACAAAAATCCATAACTATAAGATGTAGGATCTTCGTTGAAAAAGAAATTTTATTCCCATTAGAACTGAAAGGTTTTTCATAACGACGATTAGAAATTTCCTTAAGGGGAAACGGAACCCCTTTGTCTACATCAAATCTTAGAATTGTGTTTTCTCCTACAATTATTAATTTCTATCTATGAAATTACTTTATCGACTCGATTATCGCATTGTTGAGTCAATGAAGTAGTTTAATGAATAAAAAATAATAATTGCAGGAGAAAACACAATTCTAAAGATTCATATAAACGCAGGGGTTCCGTTTCCCCTTAAAGAATACCTTTTTTTGAGTGGGAAATTCTTTTTTTTACATATGTGATATGATGTTACATGAAAAAAAACACTGACCTAACTTGTCTCATTTAAAAAAGAAAAAGACAGGAGTCCCATTTTGCTCCAGTCTCTCCTATCGATATTTTGCAAAACCAAAGCACATTGATCTCTAGGTGGTGATGGTAAAAACGGTAAAACGGAGGATAGGGCATGATGAAACGCCAAGTCGAAATGAAACTCCAATTCGAAAACCCCAATTTCAAATATTCACCAATTTTTGTTAAAAAAAATAGTTATAATAATAATGAAAATTTGGTACTCGAAATTAAAACTCCAAAATGAAGGGTCAGAACTAAGGGACACGAGGTCATATGGGGGTATACGGGGATACTGATATCAGTTATCCCACACCTGTCACGAATATATGATCTAAACATGCCCAAAGAGGTGGGTGAGAGCGATGTCTAGTATATAATATCGATAATATAGATGCAAAGACAAATTAATCTTTGGGCTTTCAAAAATTCTTTTCATACTTTATATTTTTATTTTCATATATTATTTAATTATGGTCTCAGTGGCAACCCTTTAATTCAGGAAATAATTGAAGTGAAAAAAATGATGCTGTTTTTCATCATTGGTACTAGATAAATCAATTAAATATTGAAGGTTGAAAAGAAAGAGTACAGATGATCCATACGTTCTGAAATGTCTCAAGGATGACGTGAACATTGAGGATGTTTACAGGGAATTATAAATATTCACAACAATCCAAAATCCATCTTAAATTTTCCATTATTATGGAGCAAGTTATTTCCTCCGTTCCAATGACGATTCTCATCCACTTTTTTCCTCATTTTGTTAAAATCAATTGGAATATGAATTCCGTAACGAAGCGGTAAAACGGTTTAAGTTGGTTTTGACTATTGCTTAGTTTTCAATGAATATATCGGGGTCTAAGACAGATTCTAAAATTTGTATTATAACCTTTTTTGTTGAGCAAATCGAGAACTATAAAAAAAGTTTTAACGGAAATTTTGCTATCTCCCGTAGGTTCGGAAATATTCCTCGAAAACTCAATCAAGAGTTAAGCTTAAATTGTTCTATTGCTTCGTTACTGAATTCCATGAGTGCTGCATATAAAAATGAAATTTGTCATTCATGTAATTTCGTCGCAATTATAACGAGCGACTTTTCGCGACCTTCAGAAAGCTTTCCTATATTGTTATATTAATTTCAAAATCGAGTTGATGGAATACCATCAGTTGAGAAATGGATTCCTTGAAGAGCATTGGTCCGTATAATTGACAGTCATTAGATTTTATATATTCCTCCATTGGCTGCAAAACGTTAAAACTCTTTTACGCACGGAAAAACCCAATTTCAACGAAAGTGTAAACATCCTCAAAAATATTCAAATTGCAAGGCTTACGTCACACATTCAGATAACAGTATCCATGAAAGCCCCAAGTCTGACGAATGAGGAAAAAAACTTGAAACATAACTGAACGTTTTTTCCTTATTTATGTTCCGCTTCTACTAAGAAGCAGAAGTTGATCGAATTGCAAAGTAGCGGTCTAGAAAAGGCGGTGTAGTGAACTCATCACCTCAGTCAGTATTGCGAGTTATTCAGAACGGGTCAGCCATGAGGATATCCGCAGCGCCTCTCTTTGCGATCATTTCATTGTGCGTTATTGCAGTGTCTTGTACCCCAAGAGTGACAATTAGAAATGGAACACTTGAAGGATCTATACTGCAGTCCAGGAAGGGGCGGAATTTCGTAGCGTTTAGGGGAATTCCGTATGCTCGGCCACCAGTAGGAGAATTACGCTTCCAGGTAAATAACAATTCAGAAAAAAAAATTAATTCACAGATCTCGTCATGAACTTTTTGGATTCATGTACTGCAAGTGTCCAACCGCAGCTTTGGAACCGATACAAAATGATACATAGAATCCATCGTTACATTTTGTTAGAAACGAGGGGCCATTGATTTGTGAAATCACTGTATCACTCAGGAATGAAATTGTATGAAATCAATTGGAATCAACTGAAATCAGTCAAATCCTGGGATTTCATGGATTTCTGGTGATTTCAATTGAAGTCACTTGCAATCGCTGAAATCCCATGAAATCATGAAATGAGCAGCTCATGAGATCCCTTCGAATATATAAAAGAGGAAGAAACTTTTGACTTACACAGCAAAACCATTGTCTGAATTTCAGACTAACAGGTGCCCAAACATCTTAATTCATGTTTGAAATTCAGACAAATTTTCATTTTATTCAGACGTTTTTTAGCGTCTGAAAAATTTCTACAAAAGGTGTGTGGAATTCAGACATTTGTTTTTGCTGTGTATTTGTGGTGTATTCTTCTACGCATGCCCATTCACGTGTATTATTTTTATTTAAAAATTCTTGAATTTCAACCAATAACTACTCATGGTTATATGGCCATTGGTCAATATCGCCAGACAATTTTCTACCCTATGGTTATATAAAAAAATTAATAAGTATTTCTGATTGCAAATTTCGTTCATTCCTAATTCGAGTGGAGCGTTCATTTCGTTCAGGTGAATGTATGAAGTGTACGTTGTTCTTCAGTTTATTGAAGAAATAGATATTTTATCGAATGAAAAAATTATCGAAAAAACAAAATAATTTGATTCTTATGGTTTTATCTTGATGGTTTCATCCTCCCATTCACCCCTTTGTAACTCTCATGCCTGAGTCTTCTTCCACTAATATCGTGCATTTCTTTTTCTCCGGGTTCTACCTCCATTCGCTCCTACTCCATTCTCCCCTAAATAGATGAAATCAAAAATTTGAAATCACTTGAAATCGTCTGTAATCGCGGAATCACCAAAAAATCCCGGACAATCACATGAAATCAATGATTGCATGAAATCACGGAAATCTCCCTGAAATCTCGTGAAATCAGCCATCACTTTTTTCGTTCGATTTTTTAAGTTTTTTGTTCGATTTTTTTAATGAAAACAAAAGAAAAATAGAATGAAAAAATATTAAAAAATTTGAGACAAGGAAATTCTATAGAAAATATTTCAATAGAATAAGTTGTATAGAAAAATCAAATGCTATGGACTTTTTCTATGGAATATCTTCTATTGAACATGACAATAGAATCTGCCAAAAACTAATGAAAGTTCAACAGAAATCCAATAGATTTTTTTAACGAATTCGCTAGGTTTTTCTGCTAAATTTTTTCTTGCTCGGTGTTTCTCATAAGCGCAGATATATGTATTTTCAGAATCGCTTATAAATTGCTGACAATGAGAAACGTAAAATCGAAGTATAATTTCAAACATTAAACTTGTTGTTGATTACTGCAGAATCGGCAGGTGTGTAAACATGGTGAGAAAAAACGATGGAAAGAAAAGNCGTCTGAAAAATTTCTACAAAAGGTGTGTGGAATTCAGACATTTGTTTTTGCTGTGTATTTGTGGTGTATTCTTCTACGCATGCCCATTCACGTGTATTATTTTTATTTAAAAATTCTTGAATTTCAACCAATAACTACTCATGGTTATATGGCCATTGGTCAATATCGCCAGACAATTTTCTACCCTATGGTTATATAAAAAAATTAATAAGTATTTCTGATTGCAAATTTCGTTCATTCCTAATTCGAGTGGAGCGTTCATTTCGTTCAGGTGAATGTATGAAGTGTACGTTGTTCTTCAGTTTATTGAAGAAATAGATATTTTATCGAATGAAAAAATTATCGAAAAAACAAAATAATTTGATTCTTATGGTTTTATCTTGATGGTTTCATCCTCCCATTCACCCCTTTGTAACTCTCATGCCTGAGTCTTCTTCCACTAATATCGTGCATTTCTTTTTCTCCGGGTTCTACCTCCATTCGCTCCTACTCCATTCTCCCCTAAATAGATGAAATCAAAAATTTGAAATCACTTGAAATCGTCTGTAATCGCGGAATCACCAAAAAATCCCGGACAATCACATGAAATCAATGATTGCATGAAATCACGGAAATCTCCCTGAAATCTCGTGAAATCAGCCATCACTTTTTTCGTTCGATTTTTTAAGTTTTTTGTTCGATTTTTTTAATGAAAACAAAAGAAAAATAGAATGAAAAAATATTAAAAAATTTGAGACAAGGAAATTCTATAGAAAATATTTCAATAGAATAAGTTGTATAGAAAAATCAAATGCTATGGACTTTTTCTATGGAATATCTTCTATTGAACATGACAATAGAATCTGCCAAAAACTAATGAAAGTTCAACAGAAATCCAATAGATTTTTTTAACGAATTCGCTAGGTTTTTCTGCTAAATTTTTTCTTGCTCGGTGTTTCTCATAAGCGCAGATATATGTATTTTCAGAATCGCTTATAAATTGCTGACAATGAGAAACGTAAAATCGAAGTATAATTTCAAACATTAAACTTGTTGTTGATTACTGCAGAATCGGCAGGTGTGTAAACATGGTGAGAAAAAACGATGGAAAGAAAAGTATGGCTTCGTCTGCCTACATGGAAAAATAAACATGTCTTCGGACCTATCAATAAACATCTTTCAAATAAGGGTACAATATCAAAAAGATTCCATAGATATTTTTTTGGCTGGAATATTATGAGAACAGGGAAAGAAATCACTGTGCTCAAAGAATAAATTGTTATTACTATTATTAATTCTCACTTGAGTATATTTCCAAGATTCACCGTCAATATTTGATATATTCTTTTGCAAATATGTAGATGATGGGTGCGGTTGATAAGAGATCTGATAAGCTCTGAGAAGGCCTGAAACCACGAGAATAATTGAGTAGTGGTGAATGTATCCAAATTAACTATAAAATAGTCAAACATAAGGTGGTTATCTGAAGAGTGCAATTCTCGAAAAAATATTGAAAAAAATTTTCTACAAGAAACCTCTTATCACAATTTTCTGTTTCCAAATGAAAGCTTTGTAATCGGTCGATTTTTCGATTCTCCAATATTGCCTGGATATGCTTTAGATTGTTATTAAACGTCGAGATACCATGTTTTTAAAAAATGTCCGTATTTGCGTGCAAAATTCTGGAATTTTTTTTATACATCTTCACAAAAAAAAAGATTAAGAGATAGGTGCAAACCTGAAATTTTGGTCCACAATTGGTGTTATTTACGAGCACATCTGGACGAAATTTTAGCTTAATCGGTCCATTAGTTTTGGAGATATAGTGATTACGCAATTTTTTTTCCCAATATCTCGAAAACTACTGCATCAAATGAACTTTTTGTGATGTTAAAATATTCCTTATGATGATATTTATCGAATCCGAACCATAATATACCTAGCTAATTTAGACGAGACGTCCAGTAATTGAAATTTTTCATTTTTGTGATACAATCGATGTTTATACGATAAGGCTCGAAAAAATCGAAATAGGAAGTTGAAATTCGGTATGATTTTAGCTCTTACTATTAGAAATATTCAATTTTTTGTGTAAAACAATATTGTTCAATATCTCAAAGACTATTCATTTGGTTTTTTGAAGTTATGAAGTTATTTTTGACTCGTTATGAAGATGAGTGATTTCAACATAGAGATTTTGACTTGAGATTTGGACTAGCAGACTGAGCCATCTCAAAAATGGTGATAATTATGCAAAATGCATACAAAAAAAAATCATTTTCTTACTTCATAGGCACCCCAACCACCAAATTCTTGGACAGGAGTTCGCTCCGCTAAGGCTGATGGAACAGTCTGCGTTCAAAGAAACTACGATAACACTAGTTCAAAATCAACTGGATCGGAGGATTGTCTTTTCATTAATGTGTTTACCCCAGAATTGCCAAGGAGAACTAGGAGACATACCCCTAAACGTTATGCTGTTATGGTGTGGTCTCATGGTGGTGGCGTCGAAGGTTCCAGTCATTCTTTGCTCTACGGTCCGAAGTTTCTTCTCGACCACGATATTGTTCTCGTCACCATGAACTATAGGTAAATTCATCATTGGAACTTACGCACACAGACACAACAAGTTTCCGCTTTCTAAAGACAAAAAGTACTCGATTCGAGTGATATTTTTCTAATAATCAGAAAAAAAGTTCTAGTTTTCAGTGATTTTTACTGAAAGCCAGTACTCATGGTACTTAATTCAAGGCACTTTGATTCTGGAATCTATATAGTACTTTCGCTTCTTAAAATAAGAACCATTGAGTATAAAAATCAAGAACCCTGGGGAATTGACATCAAGAACCCTGGGTTTCTTAAAGTAAAAACCTTGAAGTGCTTATTATAATTGACATCCCTGTTCCCTCCAATGATTTTCATTAATTATCATATGACATCACAATTCAGGAAACCCCTGCCCCGCTCCATCACGAAATTACAGAACTTCCTCCTCTCTTCAATCACGTGACGCAATATTTGATTACTTTGAAATTTTTTTAATTTAAGAACCCAGGGTTCACGATTTCAGTACCCAGCGGATCTTGATTCTAGGCCACGGTTCTGAATCTCAATACCGTAGTGCTGGAAACCAGAAGCTTAGAAAGTTTGTTTTTTTTTTTAGAATGGGACCTCTGGGTCTTTTGAGCACCGCAGATAGTGTCATCCCAGGGAATGCTGGCCTAAAGGATCATGTTCAGGCCCTCCGATGGGTTCAAGAAAATATTGCTACGTTCGGAGGTGATCCCGCCAAAGTAACCATCTTCGGTGAGAGTTTTGGGGCTTCAAATGTGCATTTGCTTACGTTGAGTCCACTGGCAAGAGGTAAGAAACCAGACATTTTCATGAAGACGCCCAAGTAGACACTACTCTGAAACCCTATTCAACAAATTGCTGTGATATCACAAGATGCGAAACGCTATATAAAGTCGTATTTTTATTAAGAGGGGAGCTGATATAGCGTTTCACATCTTGTAACATCACAGGGCATTATTGGATAGGATTTGGGAGTAGGTAGAAGGGGAACCAGAATGATTCTTGATATTAGTTTCCAGAAAATTTGACTTGAAAAATGGATAGGATGTTGCGTAGAATTTTGGATCTTACACGACAAGCGAAAATAACTTTGTAGGATTACGAAATTCATAGCACAAGCTTTATTTTGGGTAATGTCGTCAAGGCTCAATCGACTGAAGCGAATTGAAAGATTCTTCAGATAAGAATGAATAATTTTTTAAATAACCCATTGGAATTCATTATAATCACCGATCAAATATTGTAATGATTACTGACTGTAACAGGAACGATCAATTCAGAATACTGGTTCACTTGAACTCGCTATTTTGTAAATTATTCATTTTTGTTTAAAGAATTTTTCAATTTGTTTCAATTTTCCGAGTATTCACCACATTAATCAAGAAAAAGCTTGTGGCAAGAATTTTGTTTTTCCCCGGCTCGCAATGACAGTTTTGTCGCTATTCCACATTTGGCCAAACGACAAACTTCTCTCACTGTGAGGCGACGATTTCACATCTTTGGCATGAACTTGATCGATGCTATCTCGTCCCGGTGTTATCACAGAGATATTGATCAATCATTAGCTGACTTCACTGTCAAGGTTGGACCAAGGTTCGTCATAGGTTCTCTAATTTTTCGTCAACCAGATACATTCATAATACGAATTGGCAAAAATAACCGTTAATCAGTGACAGTTCAAAAAGCGATTCTCTCTGATTTTATAATCGGTCCAATCGACTACCACTATTAAACGAAACATTCCAATTAAGAGGGGTAACGGTCAGTTTTTTTCTATACTATCTACCTTCTAATAAACAAAACGTCCCGATTAAAAGGGATAACGGTACGTAAAATCTGGAAGTTGGAGGACAGAAAGCATAGAACATGAAACTATTCATAATTTCTTATCTGTTGATTAGGCTATGATCATGGTAGTTGAGGAATGGTCGAGGCCAGAATTGGTCGAGGGTAGCCCAGTGTTGGCTGGCGCTGAACCATTCTCCGCCAATTTTGGTCCATGTCTAATTTTTTATCAGAAACGAATTCCGCCCAATTGGTTAAGGGCCCGTCCAATGCAGACAAGCTTCGGTCTAGTATTGGGCCCCCGCTGGTCCAGTACTGGATAAACGCATAATCCATTTCTAGAATCTCAAATGTAGGTATCATAGCACTGTATTGGCGGTTGACATTTCCATACTCTTGGTAATAACTACCTGGGCAGGACGTGAGACTTCCTTCTCAACAGTTAATTATACAAATACATCGATTTGTCTTTCAGGACTCTTCCACCAGGTGATTAGCCAGAGCGGCACTGCCATCAATCAATGGCCATACCATACCGCAAAATCCGCGAGGGAGAGCGCTCACCGTCTCGCCAGAGAACTGAATTGTCCTACAGATACTTCCGAGAAACTTCTTCAGTGCTTACGTACAAAGGATGCCGGCGATGTCATGATGCAGCCTGCAAATTGGCCGGTATTTACAAGCACGCAAACTTTCTATCTGTCCTAGTATTTACAGAAGACTGAGAGAAAAACAAACACGTTGTCAAACAAGTCTTGTTTGGGCCAACAAAATCGCTACTTGAAAATTGTCAAGAAAGAATTTATTTGGTTTGAATTTGAGAGTCTCAAACATAAATAATTGTTCTGCTTTCGACAGCAGGGAAATAGTTAGCTCAAGAGGGGGATAATTCACACCAGACGGTGCCTTTTCAGAATGAAAATATTTCATCTAGAGCAAAATTAATCAACAAATATTATCTATTATTTTTATTCATATTTCTTTTCTACTACCATTACGGTTTTATAGGCTCCCCATCCGTCTGCCTTGCCTCTCCCACTTCTCCTATTAACTACTATCTCTTGTTTCGCATAAAACGAAGATTTTTCGGGTGCAAAACACGTATGGGAGTATCGAATAACGTAGGAGTAGTGCTAGAGATGACATTTCTTGCGTGCACAGAGAATGCAATTTTTTTTGAACTACTAAATCGATTTTTGCGATAAAAATTTTTCATTCCGACGCACTCTCTGCATGTTTGGCACACAAAAATAGTTTTTTGATAATTTTCAAAAAACTATTTTCTTGGCATAAGTAAGACTTGTTTGAGAACAAGCCTTTGTCGTTTTTTTGTTAGTGAAGTCAAAATGTTTTTAGATCTTCATTGGAGCTCCAGATCTACCATTCCGAGCGGTGATAGAATCCCCCAATCCAGGTGCGTTTTTAACAGACGAGCCTGGAAAATTGATGGAACGTGGCCAGTTTGCAGATGTTGCTTGGTTGAATGGTGTAAACGCTCAGGAAGGAGCTCTCGCCGCTGGCGGTTAGTATGAAAAATATTACCTCCTGCAGTGACATACACGAGTTAATGTTACTTACTTCTCATTTATTGCAGTTCTCTATGCATCACCCAATCAAACGAATGTCAGGCGGTTGAATAACGAGTTTACTGAGCTTGCACCACTAGCCAATGGTTTAGACAGAGACTGCCCAAAACCAATCTTGGACGATATTACAAGAAGAATACGTCAATATTACTTCGGTGACAAGCAAATCGATGAGTCCACTAGGATGAACGTTGTAGATGTACGAAGATTTCAATTAATGTTTTGCATATGAAATAATTTCTTTACTATTGAATTTTTATATTGTAGATGATTTCTGATTCGATCTTCAAGTTCGCTAGTGCCACCGCAGCGAAATTACATCTTCAAGGTGCAAGGAATCCGGTATATTACTATCAATTTGCATACAGAGGCTCCTTGAGTTACTCAGCTTTTGGTGATCCCACGAAAGACTATGGTGTCTCTCATGCTGACGAACTTCTGTACCTATTTCCAGTACATGAAGTTCTGTTTCCGACTGGTACAATGAGTCAGAGAGATTTCCAAATGGTGGATGTGATGACTGCTTTATGGTCCAACTTTGCGAGATTCGGGTGAGCAATGGAGAATTGATTTCCATCATTAATTTTTTTGTTGGAGGAACATAGGATGATAGCTTCATCTCTGTAACAGGAAACCTGTACCATCCCGTACATCTACACTTCCCGTTGATTGGGAACCTGTTAGAACTGATGCGCTTGAGACGTTTTCTATCGAGAGTCCAACGAGCTTCAAAATGTCTAATAATGTCTTCAAAGATATGATCAACCTGTGGTCTAGTTTTCGCTGTCGCGCCGGTCTTTCTCGTACAGCTAATCTACCTACTGCATAATATAATTTTGCAAAGAATCTCGATGTGATTCCGGGGATTCTGTCATTTGATTCAATGACATCATTAATTATTCAGAGACAGCATGCAAAACCTGCAAAACAATTTTTTTCTCGATAGAAACAAAATTATATCGTTTTATATATGTATCGAATTGTGTATATAAGTGTTTGAAAACTAGGTACTTAGCGTCATTTGTCTTCAACTATATTCGTACATCATTTTGTGTAACTGTGAAATAAATCGATTGCAAGTCAAATTTAGTGAATTCTATGAATACGAATGTGGCAAGATGTCATGATGTCAAAATTTCATGAAATTTGTGGTGAATTGGGAAACTAGCACTGTGTTTTTGGAATAAATCACTTCCACAAATAGATAAGAAGCAATTTAGCGAAAAAATTTTTCTTCGAAAAAGATGCACCTTGCTTACTAATTCACCACAGAAATAACTTTACTCATTTGCTATTGAGAATAAGACCGATACCGCGTATCTCGATCCACTTCAGAGATAATAATTCACTTGAAAATGTAGAGAAAAAGAATACATTGCCGGATTACAACGTGAAGTTTTAATATCTTATCGTTACACATTGTCTTATGTTTTGTTATATTCTGTGCGACAGAAGCAGTTCAGTCTGCATGTGGATTCATTCAGAAACAGTCAAATATGAGATTTTCAGTGGGACACATTGCATTACTGCTTTCATTATGGATTTGTACAGTGCTTGCTGCGACAAGAGTAAGAATTAGTGATGGGATACTAGAAGGATCGGTATTGAAATCAAGGAACGGACGAGATATCTTTGCATTTAGGGGCATCCCATACGCTCGTCCACCAGTAGGAGTATTACGATTTCAGGTAGAATATCGATTATGTAAGCTGGAATTCAAAGTGACAATTTTCATAAAACAATTTGTACCAATTATTGTTATTATATAATAATTATCCGATAAAATTTTTCGTCTCCAATTCTCAATTTCTGTCATTTATTCTATTGATTCTATCAAAAGGTAAGAATAGAAATGGAATTTATGAGTATTCTTTCATTATTCGAGAAAATATGTCGATTTTAAAACTTTCCGGAGACATTGAAAAATTGTTTTTTTTCATTTCTTCTCATTAAAATTAGATGATAAAATTCCAAAATATTTATATTCCGCCCATATTTGAAAAAAAAACTGATTCCAAGTTTCCACCGACACAAATGAAGAAACACTACTTTTCTCAATCTTCTAGCCGATCATCCTTTTTTAAAAATTTTGAGGAATACATGGAGCAATTTTTCTATTACCCGAATAAGGTTTCGAATGACTTTTGTTTTGTGTGTTTACTTTTATTCCAAAGAAAAATCTTTTTATTGATTTTTAACATAATTCCTCTTGGTTCAATGTTATAACTTGTGAATTAAAGAAAATATATATACATAATAAGAATAAGAAGGGAGAAAATTAAATTAATCGAATTATAAAAACGGAAATTGAAATAAAATAAAATGAAATAAAATAGTATAAATCATCCTAGCGACGCGCGCGAAGCGCCCGTTCACTAGTTGTTCTATAAGTAAGTTGAAATGGTTCCCAGAAAGATATGAAATCAATCACAGTGTCTTCGGTCTTTGATTTTAGGCACCTCAGCCACCAGCCCCTTGGACAGGAGTCCGGTCGGCTAAAAGTGATGCAAACATATGTCTCCAGAAGGAGGCCCAAAACTCCGCCTCTAGGATCTTCGGTTCAGAAGATTGTCTCTACATAAATGTATACACTCCAAAATTGCCTGATGTTGGATGGAAAAATTCTTCCATTCCTTATGCTGTTATGGTGTGGAGTTACGGTGGTGGATGGTTCTCGGGTAGTGGTTCGTCACAGCTATATAGTCCAAAGTTCCTGCTAGATCATGACATTGTTCTAGTGACCATGAATTACAGGTAAAACTATCAAGAAAAGTCGCATGATTTGAAAAAAACGAAGATGAACGACAATTCTTTGCAGATTGGGACCTCTCGGTTTTCTGAGTACAGCAGATGATGTCGTTCCAGGGAATTATGCTTTAAAGGATCAAGTGCAAGCACTTCGCTGGGTTCAGAGAAATATAGCAGTCTTCGGTGGTGATCCAAGCAAAGTCACCATTGCCGGTGGCAGTGCTGGAGCCGCAAATGTACATTACCTTGTTTTGAGTCCACTCGCTAAAGGTATCGGATGAAGTACTGATTCTAAAACGTTACATACCATCTTCGTGAACAATCGTATAATGACATGAATCGCATAAATTCAATGATTTGACCGTTATATGAAAAAAGATTAATTCTTTAACCCTTTGCGCTGAGAGCTCATTGCATAAGCAGATACCGAGCCCATCCTTGCTTTTACCCTTTCTGAATGATACACTGAAAAAAGACATGATTGCTATCCATAAATTTTTTGCATAACGTGAATGTAAAAGTCGATAAACTCACAGAAACCTAAGATCTTTACTATAACAATAATGTAAAAAGCCTAGAAGACTCCTCTGTGCATGACACTGCGTATATCTTTAACATTGAAAAATTGAAACATACCTGAATTCAATGTGAAGGACTATTCCATCGAGGGATCTCCCAGAGCGGTACCGCCGTCAATACTTGGTCATACAACACACCAAAACTTGCGAGGGATACTGCCCGTCGTCTTGCTAGAGAACTTGATTGTCCAACAGAGACCTCAAAGAGAATTCTTCAGTGTCTGCGCACTAAAAATGCTAGTGCGATAGCTGCAAAGCCTACAGCGTGGTCGGTAATTGAACACATCCTTCTGTTTTTGGCTGAAGATTGATAATCTCAACCATTGTTACTAATGTATGCCAAGATGATGCCAGTTACCGGACCTGTTCCGTTCGAGAACAGGTGTCTCTGAGATGTCCGGTTATTAGAGCATTTGAATTATTAAATTAGCGGTGAAAGGGATGCCGTCTTGTAGTCATTACTTATCGCTCATTCGCTTCATGAACTTTTTTCCCATTGAAACGTAGGTAAACATGCAGTTGACCGCGCCTATATTGCAGAAGGCATGTGACTGTTACTTTATGTTATTTGTATTTTAATGTTTTATTTCTACTAATTCATTGGTAGTAAGCTTCCGAATGGATCCACAGCCATTCCCTTTTTCAATTTATCGCCAAAACTTTGTATAAACCGGTACATATATTTTGATTGACCTAGATAAAAGACAAGGGGCCGAGTATTTTGAAAAAAAATTGACATCGGCCAAGTAGTTTTTGAGATATTGATCAATATTGTTTTATACAAAAAAATGAATATCTCTGGAACTACTGGACCGATATCGCTCAGCCAAAATACCAACCTTTGGTATTATGGGAGATACAACGATACCAAATTTCAACCTTCTATCTCAATTTCTTGTCGTGTTAGCGCGCGTACATGGAATCTTGGGAAAAAATGGTAAATCGGCAATATCTCAAAAACTTTTTGTGAACGGGTATATATATTTTGATTGATCTAGATAGAAGACATCGAGATGAGTATTTTGAAAAAAAAAAATGAAATCGGTCAAGTAGTTTCTGAAATATTGACCAATATAGTTTTATACAAAAAGTTGAATATCTCAGGAACTACTGGACCGATCGGGGTGAAATTGTGCATCAAACTTAAGCTCAATAATACCTAGTATGGACCAAAATGTCACGTCCATATCAATCAATTTTCCCGTATCAATGTTATATTTTCTGAAAAGTGGTAACCCAAAAACCGAACTATCAGACCCGGACATACAGACATTTTCTAAAAACATCATTTCTTCACGTTTCATTCTACATCATTTCCAGGTAAAATTCGAGAATGCCAAAATCCGGCGAATACTATGTTTCCATTCGGAAGCAAAAACAGGTTAATCATATGAAAGACACATCAGAAAATGGCTCTAATCAATCGTAGACATGATTTACTCTGAAAATTTTCTACGATTCATAGGGCTGCCCACAAGACTCAAACGAGACTTCACTTTGAAGGGATTGCTCGGCTCGGTCTTGGTGAGCGGGAAAATTTTTGGTCTCGTCACTGTCTCAAAAGAGGCAGCATCGGCTCTTCTCGTGATGATTCCCACTCAATTTATCTCATCTCGGTCTCAAATTTTTCGTGCTTCTTCAATGTAAAATCTCGAGATGAGATAAATTGTGTGTCATGTGAGAGTCATCAAGAGAAGAGCCGATACTGCCTCTTTTGAGACTGTGACGATACCGAAAGTTTCTGTGATCACTAAGACCAAGACGATCCCTCCAACGTAAAGTCTCGTTTGAGTCTCGTCGGCAGCCCTAACGATTCACGTTTTCAAAATACATCTGCAACACAAAAATTCATAAGTAGAATATTTATTTCATAAAAAAATACGCATGAAAAAATTCAATAGAAAACCTAGCAAATTCGCTATGGTAATCCCCTATGGTATTGACACACGCTACATGTCTGTTAGATTTTCAATGGAGCTCCAACGATGCCATTCCGACCAGTCAAGGAGTCAAACCATTCTGGTGCATTCTTAACAGAGGAACCAGGCGAATTGATGAAACGTGGCGAGTTCTCAGACGTTCCTTGGTTGAGTGGTGTGAATGCGAATGAGGGATCTATGTATACTGTGGGTTAGTACCATGAAAGTCATCCCGTGAGTCGTCCGGATGTAACTTGTATTATGAATTCCAGGACTTTATTCATCCCCTCATCAAGAAGATGTTAAACGATTGAATGACGAGTTTGTGGAACTTATTCCAATATCCCTTGAGATGAACCCAGATTACCCGAGAACAACCCTGGAAGCAATTTCGCGAAAAATCCGTCAATATTACTTTGGAAATAAGACAATTGATGAGTCTACTAGGATGAACGTGACTGATGTACGTTATTTCCTGTAAATGGAAGCCGTATACTGAATTTTTTCTGAAAAATTTCACGCATGAAAAAATTCAATAGAAAACCTAGCGAATTCGCTAGAAAATTCTGTTGGAATTCTATAGGAATTCTCTGGGGTATCCATAGGATTTCTATTGGAACTCTATTTGTTTTTTACACTGATTCTAGTGGATATTCGCTAAGAAAAAGTTAATAGATATCGAATTTCGATTTGGAATTTTCTCTTGAGATTTATTCTGTAAGAATGCTTGGGCATCAATTTTCCAAATTTTTTCCACTCGGATTCTGTAATGCAAAATGAAACAAAATCCAGTGGAAAAAACTTGGAAAATTTGTGCTCGATAATTCTTATCGAATATCTAATAGAATCAGCGCAAAAAAACAAATATCAGTTATCAAATATCAAATATCAGTTTTCAATAGAATTCCAATAGGAATCCTATAGAATCCCCATAGAATTCATATAGAATTCCAATAGAATTTTCTAGCGAACTCGCTAGGTTTTCTATTGAATTTTTTCATGCGAATTTTTTAATGAAATAAAAATTCTACTTATGAATTTTTGTGTTGCAGATGTTTTCTGATGCTGAATTGAAATTCGCCGGTGCTACTGCAGTGAAAGGCCATCTGCATGCTTCAAAGAGTCCCACATACTTCTATCATTTTGGATATAGAAGCATCAATCATACATCACTCATTCCCTACGATCCAGACAGAGACTACGGTGTTACTCATGGTGATGAACTCATGTATCTATTCCCTTTCTATCAAGCTCATTTTCCTAACAAAACAATGGGTGAAGGAGACTTTAAAATGGTTGATGTAATGACACTGTTATGGACCAACTTTGTCATATTCGGGTAAGCCGTCAAGACTTTATTTTGGCCAGTCAGCCATGAAATGACGTTCATTCTTTAACCAGAGAACCTACACATGAAAGTACATTCAAATCTTCTATTGAATGGACGCCTGTGAAGACCGATGCCCTCGAGACCTTCATCATTGAAGGCCCTAGAAGCTTGAAAATGTCCAAGGGTATTTTCAAAAACATGATCGACTTCTGGTCCAGTTTGCCCTGCCGGGTTGGTCTTTCATATACAAACAAGTACCTCGTTGGTTGCTAGGAAGATGTGAACAATTTGTATGCAACATTCTAAAAATTTATTTCGAAGTGTTCAAGCGATGATCAACCTATGGCCTAATTTATGTTGTTGGCCAGGCCAACGACATAAATTTGCTCTCTTCATAATATCATTATTTTTCCGGCAGTTAGCTTGTAAATTATTTTGTGTTATCTCAAAATTGATAGATTGTGCGTGTAACATTAATTAGCCAATGTATTGATAATAAAAAATAATTTTTGAAAAAATTTAGAGGAAACATGAGTTTTCAGATTTGATCTTTATCGTCTCAAGCTTTTGGGAAAATTTATGATGATTTTCTTGTAATCTTATTTGTATTCTATTTCGAATAATTTGAAAATAAATGGATGGCCGTTAGCATTGAACGCATGGATAGCGCTACTAAATGGCATATATATTGTTTCCCTCTTAATCCTCTGTAGGGAAGGGTAGGGCAAAACGGATCACTGCTAGAAAATTGATAATTTTTTAATTTTGGAGGTAAACAAAAATTGGAGGCAAAAACAAAAATTCAAAATCATTTGTGGTTTGAGGTGATTAGCGAATCTGATCAAATTACGGTTCAACGACACTTCTTGTCTATATAACCCTTGTGACGGTTATGATCTTGAAACTCCCTTTTAATTCAACACATTCAGTGTTCCTGATTTGAAGGAAAACAAACAAAAATTACCAATTTTTCGTCAGTGGTCCGTTTTGCCTTCCCGGGCCGTTTTGCCCTACCCTCCCCTATATTATAAAAATCCGAATCGACTTCTGGCGATAGAAAATTACGGCGAAAAATTAAGACTCAAAACCAAGGGTCACAAGGGTCAGAATTAGAGTCCTGGTAAGCCTCAGAATACGGGTCATGTAGGGGTGATATGGGGTTATGTGGATGCAATATGGGGCTTTCAAGGCATTGACTGGAACCTTTTTCCAAAAACAAAAAAATCGCTTCTACTGGGTAGCATCATAATAATCGTGGGGGGTTGGCGAGTAGAGCGAGCACGGGGTGGCGATGGTAGGGATGGGCGATGTTTTAAAAAACATCGATTATCGAAGAATTGATGTTTGTCGAAAACATCGATGTTGTGAATCGATTTTTCGGGAAAAAACATTGCCTATTAAAAATTTCGATATTTTTCTCATTACAAAGGAAAAAAAATTTTTTTTAAGATTTTTTTTTCATCATTTTTATTGAAAAATATATATTCAACCCAAGGAACTTACGTTTTAATGATAAGTACTGCTGGAGAGTTAAATTTTGAATCTCGGAACGGGGTTTTTGATTAATTGAGAAAAATATATTGAATATTTTCCGTTAGCCACAATAATGGTTAAAAATTTTAATTTAAAAAAATTGAAAAATTTCAATTCAAAAAAATAATGGACGACGGGAGTTGTTCACTTATAACTTATAATTTATAATTTATAATTTATAACATACATACTGTAGAAAATAATGACTTCTGATTGCGGATAAATTATTATTTTTCGTCATTCAGGCCCGTTAGGTAGCGCCTACTATAGCTGTCTTGAGGGAAGCTAAATGGCGTTTAACAGACCAGGTCCGTTAAACGAAGCACAGGTATGGTTAACTCGAGTTAGCAGCCCTAGGACAATAAAAACATACAGTTTCTAGATGGGCAACCCACAAAACCTTCGTAGGAATACAACATGAAGTGTGCGGTTATCGCTGTCACTTGCTTGAAAACTCGGCGGATCGTTCACCACTAATACGATGCGCCACCGTCATTGCCGATGACATCAGGAGTTGTTATTCCGTTGCTAGGGAGTCAGTCGTAACTTGAGG